AGAGAAAAACTGCTGAGACTTATTTGCAGTTGGGGCTCCCAGAATCAGGTTCATGGGCCCAGAAAACCTGAAAGACAACATAAGAGAATCCAGACTAGACTGAGACGATGACATTTCCTGTTGATACCTAACAAAGGATTTCACCACATCCAGTGTGACTAAAGATTGATATTAATATTTCATTGTTTATTTCTGTGTATGAAATTTGATGTATATATATGTTAAAATAATTTGTATATTTATACATATAGTCTTTCATATGTTTTTGTTCCACAGTAAGCTACTCTCAATGAAACTTTATTGCCTATATAGTCCTGAGTTAAAAAAAAATGCTTTCAACTATTGTTGAAAAAATATAAATCTAAAGATTAGGGGATTTAGAGGGGTCCAGCCTTAAAAGCTTCCTCACTGAGGCTAAGTAGTGCCTGTATGTGCTACATGGGACATGTGTGTGCATACAATTCACAGCCTTTTATAAACACACAATACATTATAAAACAAGGTATATCTTGCCAGTCCCTGTATCTCTTCTGTGACTCCCCCATTAATTGGCTGATGTTACCTTCACTTCATTAACATCAGATGCCCTGTTTTTGGTTCCTTAAGTCCATGCTCTCAATATCATTCCTTACTGTGAAGGGATTCAGCTAGCCAGGCATGGGGCTGGTCACACAAATTTATTCCTGCTTCAGGCTCCTGAAATACCTCACTTGCATCTTAATTACCAACTTCTTCCTGCCATATTGGATCAATTAATATACATCCTATAGCATTAATTATGACAATTTTGTGAATAACATTGTTAAATGATAATTATGATGAAGCATTAACTTGGAAACATCTCATTATTATTCCTTCATAGGGTTAAGCTCTGCTGGATTTTTTGTGTGCATGTGTGCCTTTTTTTCTTAAATTAGTAGTTACTAATATTAAAATAAAACTTCATGAAAACATCTTGTTCACGGCTCTACTTGGCACTTTATTGTAAGTATACCTTCCCATTAATTCCAATACTACAAGAGAATGAAAGATTTGCAAAGATCTTGGTGGAGCGGCCGACTGTCTTGGATAAAGTTCTCGTATTAGAGTCATAGGCTTGAGTTTGAATCCAGCTTCCATCACTGCTATGTGATTGGGATAAGTAATGTCGCTAAGTTTAGTTTCCTCAGTTCTCAGTAGTAGTAATACTCATCTTGGAGACTCATTTAAGGACTAAAAATAATACAGTTACTGAACTTGGTACTCAATAAATGGCACAAAATAAATGTACTACTACAGCAGTGTAGCAAAAATGTAAACCTGCCGCTTAGGAACGCTATTCCCTACACAAACATTTAGATAATCAGTCCACTCTTCACTAAAATAGTGATCCAGTGCTTCTCATTACTTATTTTCTGACAGAACCCAGCAACTTGAATTTAGTGTTTCTTGACTTCTAAATAGATCCTAGCTGCTGGTGACTGTCTCTGCCAACCTGGGGACAGTCGTATAAAACTATGTCCTCCTGCAAGGACGTATTCATGTCACCACCGCCCAAGCACTGAAGCCTCAGGGCTGTTTGAAGGCTGGGCTGACAGTGGAGTTGAAACATGGCTTGTCCATCAGGAATGGGTTCCTGGAAATATCTTAGATTTCTTCGTTCCTCCCTGCAGATTTATACTGTTATGTGAGGATGAGCTCTTCTGTTTGCAAGGAAAGTGTGCGCCCTCAGGTGCTGTCTGGCCTCATTTCTGCCTCCTTTGAGCTCCGTGTCACGGTGCACCTTACTCCTGGGTTTAAGGATCTGTATGTACTGAGCTCTGGCTTTCTTGAGGACAGAGTGCAGAGTGAGGGGCATGGAAAGGCAAGACACAGAACCAGAATTCTTCAGCTGGATAAAACTTCTAATATTCCTTTTACGGATAAGCAGCTGAGTCACAGAGAGAAAGTGGCAAAAAAGCAGAAGGATTGAAATTCATGGAATCTGTAGCCATATAAACCTGAGTCAGAGCCAAACTTCTATAAATTCCTTAACTCCTCATACCTCACTTTGTTAATCTGTAAAATAGGAGAAATAAATATCTGGCGCCTACCTTACAAGGTTGCTGTGAGACTACATGAAAGAATGCTTGTTAAGTCCTTAGCCTAACCCCATTCAAACCTCTTAACAATCAACTTATTCATTATCTATTGGATCAATAGTAAATATAACAGCACAACTAATAATTTTATATTTTTATTAATTCTGTATGTAAGACATTTAAGATATAGTAAAAATTAAATAAATATTAATCATTATGATTATGGTGTTGATTTCCCAGTATCACTAACTAGGTAGGAGCACACAGATTTATAATCCTTTTTATATACATATAGATATAGCATCAACCTGGTTTTTATGCAGGCTGGAATAATGAGTTAAATAAAAGTTATACATCTTATTTATATAATGCATTTAAAATGGACTCTATAAATATTATCTCATCTTATCATTATAGCCACTTTGTTAGATGAATAGAACCGATTTAAGCTCCACTTGACATACAAACAAACTCAGAGAGGTTACAACATTTGCCTGAAACACAAAGCTAGTTAATGATAGGAAAATAGCCAGGTCCTTTTGACTCCCAGTATAATGCTTTTGTTTGACAAGCAAATACTGTACAAGCAGCTTTTATAACTCTAGCTTTTGTCTTGACTCAGTAACCAGTATCTAGATGCTAAATTGATTTCACATTGAAGAAACAAAGAAATTATCATCTATAAGACTATAACGAAAAAGCCCTTCGTTATGGGAGATGTAAAGGGTAGGGGAAACATAAATAAAGAAAATGAGCTGCAATTTATAACCCAAGTTAAACAAAAAGCTCCCCTAAATTTATATCCTCCTGTTTCCACATAATGAGTCAATTAATCTTCTAACGCTTTATAAAAGTAAAAAACACTGCAGTAGCAGCTGGTTTTAATGTTAAAGCTAATTAGGAAAACACATTAAGGCAAGAGAAGTGCTGAGGTTACATTTAGCCGAAGAGGAAAGAAGTATGTTTGTCTGTTTGTGTTACAGACAAGTATGAAGAAAGAGAAGATCAATTAAAGCATGTCTTTTAAATCCTGCAATCTGATTTCCCCAAGGAAGGCAGCTGTGGGAGAACAGAGAAATGGTCACTGGTGTAAGAAGTTGTTCTGGCCAAGACGGGCAAGAGAAGGTTAATGACTATATTTCACAGAGCTACCAGACTGACACTTCTGACTGAATTTATGGATTTTTCTGCCTGAACTGACTGAACACACAAGCAATTTGGACACCATTTGGCCCTAGTCTATGATTGCCAGATAAATTTCTTAATCGCGGGTTGATTTGCCACCTGCCACTAAGTAGCACATTTCAATTGCATTTTTAATAACCCCACAAAGTAGTCTCAGGCAAAAAAATATTTTAAAAAACCACATTTTCACCTAAAAAAAAATCTTGCCATATATCTCTAACAGATCGAGCGAAGTGGAAATTTAAGGTCAATTTCATGTTTTTCTGGAGGCTGCGGATGATGGAGAACATGGAAATGAAGGCATACATGTTTTAGGACAGAAGAGGAAGACTGGCTCCTAGCAATCCACAGCGGTGTTTCTCAAGCTGTAAAGTGCATGGGAATCACCGGGGAGCTTGTTAAACATGCAGATTTTATTCAGAAAGCCTGGGTTGGGGCCTGAGCTTCTGCGTTTCTAACTCACTCCCAGATGATCTGCTGCTGGTCCTTGGGCCACTTTGAGTGACAAGACCTCTCTGGACTGCTTGTTTCAAGGACAGTCATTTTTCTCTCAATTTTTCTGGTTTTCAATGGCGTACAATAATCTCTCCCTAAAAACCCTTTCCTCTAGAATAGGAATTAATTTAATTGAGGAATCTAACCTGACAGGAATTAAGGCAGCTTTTTGAATTGGTGTTGAAAAGAGTACATCATGGGGAACTTGCAACGGCTGCTTCGGAGAGGCCAGTTTCAAGCTATTCCCGTGTGTCTGGCGCCCCCTAGTGGCTTAAAAAACTCCATCGCCAGGCAAGAGTCCCATTACAGGGGAATTTACAAGGGATTTTACAAATTTTTTATGGAATCGTAGAGACCGAAGCACGGAATGTCTGCGTGGTAGCTGTATAGTATATTATCCAAGTATTGGCATATTTGGTTGGGGGAAGAAATGGTCGATTGAGAATGGTAGGTAGTGGCTCAAGCATCGTTAGGAGAATTGCCATAATAAGGATGATACCTCTGAGAAGTAGTGAAGGGAAAAAGATAAAGAAATAGAATCTCAGAAACACAAACACACACAAAACAAAACAAAAAAATCATCTGTTTTAAACCATCTTAAAATCAGAACTTCTGATGTCTTAAATTAGGATTCTATAAGTGTGAAGAGTGCTTTGGAATACAAAAAATTAAACTCACCAAGATTTAATCTGATGCTGGTAATCTAATGCGGTGGTTTTCAAAATGTGATTCTCAGAACAGCGGCATCCACCGGGAATTTATTAGAAATGTAAATCATTGTCCCCTCCCCCAATCTGGTGAGTCAGTGGGCTGGGCTCTGGGGCGAGGCCCAATAATCCCTGCCTTCAGAACTCCCCAGGTGATTCTGACGCTTGCTAAAGTTTGAGTCCCTGATCTAATGAACTCAAAGTCAGACCCTTAGAATTGTAACCCAATGGTTTTCAGGAAATTAAAAAACGAAACACAAACACAAAAACCCAGCCCTCAACATAATACCTACCAGACATACTTTTTTGTTTTTTACCTGTTAACAAATTAGTTCTCTGGTATCTACCTATCTATTGTGCTTCCCTTGGTCATAAGCATAGAATGCGAAGAGTATCCCCCCCATCCTGAATACATCAGGTATTAGCTATTTATCAAAAAGCTGAACCTGTTTTACTGCCAGAGGATCCTGTTTCTCGCCCTCATCCACACTTCCCTCATCTTCACATATCCAGGATTCTGCAAAGTTATCAGCTCGGGAATGTGGGAGTGGGGACCTTTGGGTCAATGAAAAAAGAGTCAGGATGAATTTCGTAGTAAGCCGGAGTTCAATGCAATGAGTTGATTTCACCACACCTTGCGTATTGCTGGAGCACTTGGTACCCTCAGTGATGCAACTACACGCACGTTAAACAATCTGAGGCGAAGAAAAACTGTTCCAAGCATGCACTTCTAACATGGACTTCTTCCCTCCTTATCTGCCATTGCAACTTGGTTCTACGAATAACTGCTTTCACGGTCTAGGACAAATCTCTTAACCTCCCTAAGACCCAGTTTCCACACTGCAATATCCAACATAATGATAGTATCTATTTCACAGGGTCACTGTGAGGGTGGGATAAGATAGTGCATTGAAGGCCTTAGCACGGTGCCTGGTACTCCAACAGTTTGATCAATTTTGATTGCTAGAAGTGATAAAAGTTATTAAAAACTCAACTCAGCAGAGTTAGTACATAGGGAGCTGTGGTATTTGACACACTAATTCTTCCATGGAAGCCCAGTATTTCAGCTCATAAGAATGTTTAACAAGATTTTATGAATAACATGTAATCCAACTTACCGATTTTAGTTAAAACAATAAGTTGGTGTATAAGCAGGATAGATCCATTCACTATTTATTGAACACATACTATTTACGATAGTGTGCATAGTAGAAAAATGAATTTTTTGGTCAATTTAAAGTAGATAAATTATCAATTGTTCTCATTCAAGAGAAGATAATTGTAAAAGGTTTTTTTTTTTTTTTAACTGATGACCTTTACTTGTGTTTTGGTCTCAATTGCTTCATATTTTCACCTCAATTTTGACAATGCAATCAATGCATGAGCTTCGTAAAGATAATACTCACCTGCAAATCCAGGTCTCATAGCAAAGTCGTGGTCCTCTATTTGGAGAAGTTGCTTATATTTCGGGGGCCATACTTTGGTACTGTCATCTTTCTTCATTCTAGTTTCTTGTTTGCTGTTCCCACAAAGGGAAAAAAATACTTTTGAGATACATATGCTTCTGGATATTTTGATTTAGGTTAGCCATCTGTGCTCAACACAGCATGTTCTGAAATACATACATAAAAGCTCATTTTCTCAGTTCGTATTAAGCCAAAGATCTGTCAACATTTGCTCTTTATTATATAAGTGTGGAGCAGATAAAGTAAACCAAATTTTGGAGCACCTTAAATGACAAACTGAGTTTAATGTATGAACTGGCATTATTTCTCAGAGTACAGTTTTTAGACCTAGAATATCCCCATTACCTGAGTGGAGGTGATCAAAATTCAGATTTATGGACCTCAGTCCCAGATCAACTAAACCAGCCACCAAGGAACAGGACCTGGGAATCTGCATTTAAACAAGCTACCTAAGTGACTGTTGGGGTCACTGAAGTTGAACAATCTCTGCACTAAGTGAAAAAATGAAAACGCTACAAGATTGCACACTGATGAAAATAGTATTTTACAAAGACAAACTGAGCAGAAAACATGGGCGCAGGTTGAGAGTGGAGGCAGAATCCCTGTTGGAGGTTCTAGAACCTGAGGGACGGCAATGTTTGAACCTGATGCCAGGATAAATTGTGAAGCAGGTGACAGAGTCTGTCTTCACCTACAGTTCTCTAGGGCAAAGGCAAAGCAGGGAGTGACCTCTCTGCTGTTGGTGTGTTGAGGTGGGAATAAAGCCCTGTCTCTCCCTGGGTCTGTGAACTTGAGCAAGCTGCTGGACCTCCCTGACACCTACTTCCCAGCAATCTTGCCCATGTGGAGGGAAAACGTCTGTGAGAGCAAAGCTGCTTTGTGAGTGACATGCAACTTTCTTCTCCTGGTGGAGACCTTGCTCAGTTCCTCTTTCCAGAGAAATGTGCCTGTCGTCATCACCGTCTTCACGGTCCGCAGCAGCAATAACACAAGATCCTGAGGGCTCTGCTAAGTGAATATTCGTCATTCTGAATACCTGATGTGCTTTTGCATTAATAAATATCTTCTCCAGGAAACCGATGTGAATTTTAACATAACACTGGGAGATGCAATTTCTCAACTCAATAAAGTGACTTTCATGGGGAGAATTTCAGATCCTGCAGCAGCTGGTAGAAGAAATATGTTCAGGTTTATGGGCACCTGAGATCAACCAGTGTGGTCTTTCGACAGGGCAGTTTTTGGCTGAAACCCTCAGAGGTTTACAGATGTATTTTTGCCATTGACAGAAATGGGAAGTTGGGAGAAGAAATCTGTTTTGGTCAGAAGGCAATGAGTTTGATTTTAAACATGTTAAGCCATTATATCCTATGAATAATTGAACACCTAGAACTATTTCTTCCAAGGAGCTCGAATAAACTGGAAAACTTCTTCCAAGCAGTAAGAATGAACTATTGATTAAAAATAATAGCAGTTAGCTTTTATTAAATGCCTACTATGTTCAAGGAACTATGCCAGATGTTTGTAAATATTATCTTTTTTGGTGTACATTCAAATGATGGTTTCCTGGGCCCCATGCCCACAGTTTCTGATTCGATAGATTTGGGGTATAAGAATTTACATTTATTACAATTCCTCAGGAGAATCACTGGCCTAGAAAATAGTACACATTTAATAAAAGCTAGCTATTTGTTACTATTTTAAGAAAAATGGAAATAAAACTTTGGGTGAAAACTTATGAAAATTTGTGAACTCCTTTGGTAATAATATTTGTTTAATAAAACTGAATGGCATGTCACTAACTCATCTTTTCAGAAGCATTCCTCTCCACGAGATTGGAAAAGACAAACTTAATTAAAACTCCCAAGAACACTAAACACAGAGCCTGCTATGAAGTGCTCTCTTGGCCGTACATGACAGCACATGCACCAGCTCTTACTTGAAGGTTCTTCAGATACACAGTGATATGTTCCATATTCATCTATTTTTGCCTTTTTTGTACCTCATTTATCTCCTCCCCCGAATTTGTTGCTTATGCACTCTGTAAAAGAATTTTGAAAATCTATGTACTCCCTCACACATATTTAAATAGACATCTACAACTTTTCCATCATAAATTTTAAAATAACTTAAATATTGATGATTTAAAATAAAATATTCTGCCTTCAAATATGTTCAATGAATCTAAATACCCATATTATACATTTAAAAATATATGAACAAGCTCTTCTTTAAAAATCAGAAATTTTATTTCATTCCTTTTTTAAAAAACTTGTATTCTTCCATAGAATTTTATCACTCCATTATGTGTCTTTGCAAGAAAAATAGGTAGACATTAAAA